CATAAAACAATGTGTGTGGAAGAACATGCAAATAGAATTCAAAAATAATAAGACAGAATGCATTCATTCATTCATCCATCCATCCATCCATTCGTTTATTTATTTATTTATTTATTAAATAATGTAACAAAATAAATACATTTTGAAAATAATATTTTGAAAACTATATTTTCGGAATATTACATTAAAATGTCCTTTGTAATTTGTTATAATATTTATGTTTTCAACATATTTTTTATTAAATAAATAAATTAAATAAATGGATTTTAAATATTTTATTTATAAAAATAAATGTTATTATTTTTGCAGTTTACAATAATTTAAATGTCCTTAGTAAGCTGTTACTATAATATTTATATTGAATTTAAGAATTGACATGCTGATTGTTTTTGTTTTAATTTACTTTTTTATTCATTTATTTTTAATATTTTTATATTAAATAACTGAGTCAAAAATGTATTTTAAATAATTTATTATTATTATTATTATTATTATAAATAAGTGATTTAATTTATTTAATGTATCATTTTATATATTTTACATTCATTTAAAATGTCCTTATAATCTGATGTAATAATACTGAGATTGAACTGAAATCTTGATATACTCTGGTTCTTTATTATAGCACTCAAACATGGTCATACACAGTATTTGCTAGCACTGGCATGTATTATAATCTCTGATAAATGTGCTGCCCCATCAAAAAGAAAACACTGGAGCAATGCACTGCTGTCAATGTAAAGTAATTTCATATGTGGCTGTTTGTCAATAACAATCAAAAACAGCAGCGTGCTTCCCACAGTGTCTGAGCAGTTAGCAGTATGCACACTTACACTCACACACTCACACACCATTACCCTCACAGTCAGCCTCGCCGGAGGAGCTCGGCCAATTACCCACGGGGTCAAATGCAAAAATATGCGGTCATGCTCACGGTCACAAACACGCAAACACGCCGCGTCAGCCAGGGCATGACTCAGGTCTTCATCTGCTCACCTCAATAATGCATAGCATCAGCAGACCTGCAGAAAACACGATACTCCTGCTCACGGCTTTAGAGAGGGTTCTAGCAAGAATAATATTTGAGAACACTTTCCTTGATGCCTTCACATATAATGCATTGCAAACGTATTCATAAAGGCATTGCATCTCATATATAATTGTAAACAAAGTTAAATGCATCATAATATTTGCAGATTCCTTGTTAATGCATGTAGGGGCGGTTTCCTGGACAGTGTTTAAATTAAGCCAGGAGTAGGCCTAATCTAGAATAGTTAATCTTTGGTTTAAAAAAAGGCTTTTCTGAAACACAGATTAAGTACAGATTACTAACTCCTGGACTAAACTAAACTAGATTCATTTAAAACCAACTATGTTAATCTGAATTAGCAGGACAGAGGTGGCCTGTAAAACATGGAATGAACCAAGAAAAGCTTAAAATTGTATGGAACTGTGAAGCAAATCCAAGGAAAACAATAGCAGCGGGAAAAAAGCCTGCAATCAACAACAACAAAAACAAACAAACAAAAATGTTACTGAACAAGAGAAAACTGTTTTTAAAGCAAGCAAAGTAAACTGCACACATCAGGTGCCTAGGAATCTCTTTGTAGTGAAGTAATCAGCTGTTGTTTTGTAACATTATTATTACTATTATTATTATTATTATGTATTATATTATACATAAAGCAGCTGTTTTAGAGAGAGTCATGGTCAGAATTGTATTGGCACCCTAAAAATATGATCAAAGAGGATTGTGAAAATAAATCTGTATTGTTTATTCTTCTGATCTTTTATTTTAAAAAAAAGTAAATAAAATATTTTTTGACAAACACAAAAAACTAACTTTTCAACAAAATCACATTATTTTTTTTCTCTCTAATACACATTGACCACAATTATGTGTAGTCCTAGAAATGTAAATAAAATATTTTTTGACAAACACAAAAAACTAACTTTTCAACAAAATCACATTATTATTTTTTTTCTCTCTAATACACATTGACCACAATTATGTGTAGTCCTAGAAATTATTATGAGTAAACTATCTGAAGATCTATATTACCATTCATATTTACATTTTTTAGAACATAAAATTATCCAGCCATGATTTCCCTTCCTTTCCATTTTACTTCAATTAAAGTTTTTTTTTTTTTTTTTTTTTAAATATCAAAATGATTAACAGTGCTGATTTATTTCCACAGGCTTCTTTGTTTAAATCTACAAAGGGTGCCAATAATTTCGATGCATAAAGACTGGAAACACAGTGTTAATCTGAAGTTAAACCTGCCTCCGGTTTAATTTAAGCCCCAATTTAGTCCTGAAGTAGCTCAAGTCTTCCTCCAACAAATCAGCCCATTAAAATCTGAACTAGACTAAGTCTGAGACTATTTAAAACCATGACAGAGAAAGCAGCGTTCTGTTAATCTGGTTTAAATGGCCATTTTAGTCTAGGACTAGGTTTAATCTCTGTCCGGGAAACCGCCCCTATAAAACATAACTAAAGGAGTAATTCATCACTGCAAAGATGTGGTTTTAATAAAAGATAGCTGTCTATGCAGTAGAAATGCAATTTTTGTTATTTTAATTGGTGCAACATGACTAGAGAAAACAAAGAAACAGGGCTGTGGCAAAACAAACTGTAGGAAAATGTGCACCCATAATGCACTGGGCTCGATCAGACTATCTGTAAGCAGTAATTTAGTGCAACTTTTGAAAGAGTGCCGTCCCAGTGAAAGCTTTTGTACCTTTTTTCCAGAGAGTTTTCCACTTATACCACCAACATTGTAAATATACAAAGAGAGCATTTAGTAGAAAATCTGCAAACATACCCTTTTATTTATCAGGTATATTTTATAATGCATTATACTGTATATACAGTGTTCAAATAAAATATTTCCCAAATATTTCATATAAATTACGCAGTTTCTTCTGGTGCTTGCTTTGGGAAAGAAAAACAAAAATGCTAAATTTCAATAAAATCAGACCATCTTTAAAATATTTAAATCACTTGCATTATTTAAAAAAAAAAAAAAAAAAAAACTAGCTGTAGTCTGGTCACTTGGGTTGTGTTTTCATACAGTCGCTCAGTGACCCGTGCAATCACTTTCTCGTAGGCGATGCAGGTATGTTTTTAACATGAAGTGTCATTTTTTATTTATATGCAGTATAATACAGTAGGCCCTATATTTATAATACACTATATAAAGTAAGTTAAAACAAAAAGCCGTGCATGAATGTGAGTTTTATACTGACAGAAAATAGTTTTCTTTAGTATAGAGTTTGGCAAGAATCTTGAAACATCAGCAAAGGTAATAATCATGCAGTTTAACATGTTTGCTCGCTACAGCCTATTTTTATATGTACATTGCACTTGCTGTTTGGTGAGGGTTAACTTTGGACTTAAAATTACAATCGTATAAAAACTCCTCTCTATTTTCACTTATGTACCAATCTGCGAACTCACTGCCCCCTGATGAAGACAGATTAAGTCTCCCAAAACTGTTGCACTTTCTTACTGTGTCCTGTAGAGAGAAAGGTCACGAGTAAATCCAGAAGAGAGCGGCGTCCCGGGGCACTCAGTCTCTCTGCTGCAGATGGCACAGGGCACATGTTATGCTTAAATCTACTCTGACACACGTCTCACTATGGACAGCATGGGCAATATTGTAAACTCTGTGTGTGCATGACAACCATCTGCCCTCAACTTAATTTTGTGGAGTTTAAACTAAAGCTTGCAGAACATGTGTTCACTTTACTTTTGTTTATAGACAATATAAAGCATGTACACTATAGGGCAAAAGTTTGGATTTTTTAATGTTTTTCAAAAAAGTTGTTTTTTGATGCTTTAATTATACAGTAAAATCAATAATGCTGTGAAATATTGTTTCAATGTAAATAATTGTTTTCGATAATAATTTTTTACCTTAAGTCTATTATGCTCAACAAGGCTGCATTTATTGAATGAAAAGTAAAATAAGTCATTGTAAATAATATTGTGAAATAACTGTTTTCTACTTGAATGTATTTTAAAATGTAATTTATATTTTTTATGCTCACCAAGGCTTACGTTAGTTCATGAAAATACAATAAAAACAGAAATATTGTGAAATATTACAATTTAAAATAGCTTTTTTCTATATGAATATCTGTTAAAATGTAATTGTTTGCTGTGATCGAAGCTAAATTGTCAAAACATCATTACTCCAGTCTTCAGTGTCACATGATCTTCAGAAATCATTCTAATATGCTGATTTGCTGCTCAAGGAAGATGCTGAAAATATTTTTCCTACTTTATACTTTGTGGAAACCATGATACTTTTTTTTTTTTCGGGATTCTTTGATGAATAGAGTTCACTGACCAGCATTTATTTGAAACAGAGATCTTTTGTAACATCATAAATGACTTTACTCTCACTTTTTATCAATTTATTGTGTCCTTGCCGAATGAATGTGATAAATTCCTTCAAAAAATCTTACCCCAAACTTTTGTAATTGCAGTGTATCACGGTTTCCAGAAAAAAAAAAATATTGGGCAGCACAACTGGTGATAAAATTCAGAAATGATTCTCGAGCAGCAAATCAGCATTTATAAATTAGCCTACATTTTACAATATATTCACATAGAAAACCGTTATTTTAAATTGAAATCATGTTTCACAATATAGCTGGTTTTACCATATTTTTTATCAAATAAATGCAGCCTTGGTGAGCATAAAATATAAATTACATTTTAAAATATATTCAAGTAGAAAACAGATCGTAGATTGTAATAATATTATTTACAATAACTTATTTTCCTGTATTTTTTCATTAAATAAATGCAGCCTTGTTGAGCAGAAGGTAACATAGAAAACAGTTATTTTAAATTGAAATACTTTTTCACAATATTGCTGGTTTTACCATATTTTAATCAAATAAACGCAGCCTTGGTGAGCAGAAGAGACTTCTTTCAAAAATGCTCAAGGCCTGATTCTCTCTCTCTCTCTCTCTCTCTCTCTCAGAATGATTCCCGCCTCCCATAAGTTGTTTCTACTGAGCGATCTGGCCTCGTCACGAGACTACGAGCTCTGCGTCCTGGCTGTCTACGACGACGGCATCACGGCTCTGACCGCGACGCGGCTGGTAGGCTGTGTCTCCTTCTCCACGGAGCGCGAGTTTCGCCACTGCCGCTCCATCCACGACCAGTTCCTCGGCGGCACCATGATCATCATCATCGGCGGGATCATCGTGGCGTCGGTCCTCGTCTTCATCTTCATCCTGCTGATGAAGTACAAGCTTCACAGCCAGCACTACAAGCAGAAGGCGGCTCGCGTCAGTAACGTTTGTTCTCAGACCAACGGTGGCCAGCAGGGGGCGCCATCGGGCCCTCCGCCGCGCTCGTCCTCGGGATCCTCCAGCAAGCCTTCCGTCCCGCTCGGGTCGGACAGACAAGAAGGGTCCCACGGCCTGGAGGGGGGTTACGGAGCGCTTAAAGGGACCACGGTGGTGGACTTGAACCCGGAATATGGGAAATCGTTCAAAGAGGACGACTCCATATCGCAATAACACAGGGTTCGATCCCGCCTCCCTTCCCATTCTCTTCACATCTCAACTCATTCTGTTTCTTTTCTGTTGCCGGCGTATTGCAGCCTTACCGAGGGTTTTCTCCTGTCCGAGGTGAGGATGCTTTTAATCTGTTAAAGGAATAGTTCACCCAAAAATGAAAATTCTGTCATTAATTACTCACTCACGTCGTTCCAAACCCGTAAGACCTTCGTTCGTCTTCGGAACACAAATTAAGATATTTTTGATGAAATCCGAGAACTCCCAGACCCTGCATAGACAGCAACACAACTGAAATGTTTGCGAAGCTATGAGAATATTTTTTTGTGTGCAGAGAAAACAAAAATTCCGACTTTATTCAACAATCCCGTCTGCAGCGGCGTGCAGAAGAATTGTTGGATAAAGTCGTAATTTTTGTTTTGTTTTTTCGCACAAAAAATATTCTCGTAGCTTCGCACAATTGAAGTTGAGCCACTGATGTCACATGGACTATTTTACCGATGTGCTTACTATGTTTCTGGACCTGGGAACATTTCAGTTGTGTTGCTATCTATGCAGCGTCCGGATTTAATCAAAAAATATCTTAATTTGTGTTCTGAAGACGAACGAAGGTCTTACGGGTTTGGAACGACGTGATTTAGTAATTAATGACAGAATTTTAATTTTTGGGTGAACTATCCCTTTAAGGTTTGTTGCTAGGTAGCGGGTTGCCAGCATGATAGAATCTCCCCACACTACAGTGCTGCTGATGCAGAGATGTTCCAGTTCTGTTAATTAGACCTGCTTTAATGGATAAATTACAGGCATAGCGGCTCTGCTGTCTGTCTGTGTCGGGGTAACGGGCCTAAAAAGATTTCCCCGACGGTACGGCACACTTGAGATCACTATTTAAATTCATAGCCTGACAGTTGTTTCGTTCAATAGGATGCATTTGAATTACAAAAGTGTAAAATTGAAACGCTATGATGCCTGGTTTGGATTTTTTGCAACCAAAACGAGAGGAATCCTACGGTTTGCACATCTTAGTACATTAGACTCATGTGTATGTTATGAACATCCCTGCTGAATATGGAATAGCACATATTACTGTTTTCCTTTGCGAGGTGTGGGTCATGTGTCTAAATATTGGTATTTTGCAGGGTTGTGTTTAAATTATCACTTCAACAAGGTCCAGGAGAAATTTAAAAGGGTAGTTCACCCAAATATGAAAATTCTGTCATTTACTCACCCTTATGTCATTCCAAACCTGTACGAGTTTCTTTCCTCGGATGGACACAAAATAAGATATTTTGAAGAATATTAACGGTAGCCATTGACTTCCATAGTATGGGGGGAATGAATAGCGGTTTGGAACAAGTGGAAGGTAAGGAAATAATGACAGAAGTTTCATTTTTGAGGTGAACTATCAGTTTAATGCTGGAATACTATACACAACTTACTCTAGGCATCATACATTTGCCGACTTGGAAAAACTGGGCATCATACATTAAATGGCTGAGGATCACTCAGAAATCAATCTAATATGCTGATTTATTCCTAGGAAGAACAGTTGAAAACAGTTTTTGCAACTTTATACTTTGTAGTAACCATTACATGTCTTTCTTCAGGATTATTTGATTAATAGGAAGTTCAATGAACAGCATTCATTTGAAATAGAATATTTTGTAACATTATAAACATCTTTACTGTTACTTTTGATCCATTTAATGTGTCACTGGTGAATGAGAGTATTAATTTCTTATAAAAAATAAAATAAAATCTACCTTAAACTTTTAAATAGTATTGTATCACGGTTTCCACAAAAATATTTAACAACAAGACTGTTTTCAACATTGATAATAATCAGAAATGCTTCTTGAGCAGCAAATCAGCATATTAGAATGATTTCTGAAGATCATGTGACACTGAAGACTGGAGTAAAGATGCTGACAGTTCAGCTTTGATCACATGAATACATTACATTTTAATATATATTTAAATGGTAATAATATTTCACAAAATTACTGTTTTATCATATTTGTTTACACTTCCAAACTTTCAAATTGTTCCAAAAACAATACATTCACACAGAAACATGCACCTTGTTTCTATGAGATGTTTGAAAAATAAAACAATGTGTTCTAAAATCAAACATGTTTGATCTCCTCCTACAGGATGGAGTCAAAGTCTCAGTCTGTACCCGGGATTTTCTGTGAAATCTGTTACCTCTGATTGCACAAAATCTGCAGACTGACTCTGACTTTTGGAAACTACCACTGATCCATCCACACTTTAATTTGACTGTACAAAGTAGTTTATTCCATTCTTTAGTGCTCTTTGTCAGCTTGTTGGCGAAAGTAAAATAATCAGAATGATCCCTATGAATTTTCATGTTGGTTAGTGCTGGTTATGTCACCCATAAACTACACAACTTTCAGAGTCATCACCGGATTGCTGTTCTTTTCATGCTAAGCAATACGCTGGTCTATTCCAGTGTATCACACTACACAATGATATTTAGATATATGTGTTTGGTAAACGTCTTTATCCAAGATACTTACATTGCATTCAATATTTAAATTTGACCAATTAATGCATTCCCCAGGAATCAAACCCAGACCTACTCTAATGTTTGAGCTACAGAAAATGGATTTGCATTTGAAGACTTGCTAAAGGTTACATTTAACAGTGCATGATGGAAACCTAAATGTAACAATTTGGAAAATGTGCAAAAACATTAAAAAAACTATTATCGGTTGATACCGATAAATTTAACATCTCTAATACTGGCCAATAACCAATACTGTGCTGATATGTCATGCATCCCTATGTTGGTCAGCCAGAATAACTATTTTGTCAAGCTATAAATGTTGAGTAAGAAGCAAGGTAGGAACATCAGCACACCAGCATCCAAAACACAACATTCCTCAGCTCGTTTCAGCAAAAAACAAACATTCCAGTTAAAGCCCGAGCGCACTTGGAGGCACAATCTAGGTTGGCCAGGTTCCTGGTGCTTAGAGCAGTGTAGATAATATCCGGCGGTGGACCACCTCGGCTCTCAGATCCGAGAGAGGAGGCCATTTAACATAACCAGCGGAGAGCCATCTCAGTCAATTGGTCACAGTTGCCTTCTATTGAGGAGACTCAGAGGAGCCCTGAATGGGCCGGTATGAAAGCGCAGGTTGAAGCTGTTCTCTGTTGGGTGGGAAACAGCGCCCCCAGTGGACAGAAATCTGATGCTGAAGGGCAGAGGTGTCTGTCAGGGTCACTGTCAGGAACTACTTCAAAAGGCTTCTGTAGACACCATGTTCTGCCTGTACAATTAGGTGAACAAAGAGTTACCGTCTGATCAAGTAGAAGACTTTTGAGTTAAATCACCTTTTCTGACCTGGAAAAATTTCCATCTTTTATTCCAGAGCTCGATTTGATTTTGAAATGCCCCAAAGCTCCTGTCAGCAGCTCTGGATCATACAGTGTGGAGGTGTTTGATGTTTCGCTTTATTTGCCTGTGGCTAGAGTTTGATTTATTTTATTATTTTTTTTTTTAATTATTTTATTTTATTTTATTTATTTGGATATTGTTTATTATTTATTTGGCTATTATTGATTGATTGATTGATTGATTGATTGATGAAACATTTTTACACTTAAAAATAATGAGTACATTTTAAAGCAGATGTACCTGCGTTTGGTTGAACTGTCAGGGATTGTTTTAGTTGTGTCCAACTTACCCTCTTAAGTTTTTGTTAAAGATTGATCAAATTTATTTGAAATAAATAATAATTGTGATTTTTGAAACTGATCGGTATAATTTCTCCATTCACAAATATTTTGATTTAAATTTAAAAACAATATTAATTATATAGAAACATTTTATAATATTTAAAATAATTATTTTATTTAAAGTATACTTGTTAGTCTAAAACTAATCTCTTTTTTTGTGAAAGGAAAAAAAAAACTTTAGCTGTTGGAGTTTAATTTATGTATTTCCAACTCAAACAATCATAGATTATTAAAGGGCTAGTTCACCCAAAAATGAAAATTCTGTCATTAATTACTCACCCTCGTGTCGTTCCAAACCCGTAAGACCTTCGTTCATCTTCGGAGCACGAATTATGATATTTTTGATGAATTCCGAGAGCTCTCTGACCCTGCATAGACAGCAAGGGTCCTAACACGATCAAGGTCCAGAAACGTAGCAAGGACATCGTTAAAATAATCCATGTGACATCAGGGGTTCAACCGTAATTTTACGAAGCTACGAGAATACTTTTTGTGCGAAAAAATTTTTTTTTTTCGAGAATATCCGCTGAACGTAAATTGCATATGCTGTTTTGTGTCAGCTGCGCCAAAAAGTATTTTGCGCACAAAATCCATTATGCAAACCTTTTTTCTGCTTTGTTTTGCTAATGTTGGTGGCTCCTGGTTGGAGAACATCATTTATGAATCATAACCCATCAAACTGGCTAGTGAGTTTTTATATGTTACCCATCACGGCTATTTTTCACCCGCCACCCGAAATGAACCCCAGGTTTGCGGATGCTGATTTCAAACCCTGCCTGAAGCTCAACCGACTGCTGATTCATGATCTAATATTTTAATGGACCACAATGGATTCAGATGCAGGTCCTGTTTCAAAAATTAGTGCAGAATTAGAGCTCTTGCTTCTATTAGCTCCAGATGGATTTACATTTCCTTCAGCTCAGTGTGAAATGGGAGAGATCAGGACGCGGGGATAGAGACACAAGGCCTGGCAAAGAGCTGCGGAGATAGGGAAAGGCACTATGATGGAAGAAAAGAGGGCAGAAATTAGTATTGTGATGGGGTTTAGAGATTGAGATAAAAGGGTAAAGGCCTAGTGTGTCACATATTGAGACAAATGGGCTAATCTGAGGGGTGGGATGTTGTGGAATACCACCACAACCATAGTAGAAGGTAATTACTGTTTGTTGTGTGCCATAGAAATGGGCCGCAACCTCTCTTCGACAGCCGTTTGGAACCAGAATCCCTCCAGACTGCAGCAGGACACACTGCGCTAAAAATAGCCGTCTGAATAAGGCCTAGCATTAACGGATAACTAGCTGCAACGTACCAGGCCTTGTCCTTGCTGCTGCTGCGGAAGGTTTTGTT